TAGTAACTGCATTTTACATAGAACTTTCATTATTCAAGTGATAAGCTTTCTTAAAAATGGATCGATCGTAAAGGATTTACTGCAGATTTGTGCAAGTATAACTAAGAATGGAATTTGCTCCAATATGCCCACTCACCTTCACTCAACATAGTTTCATAGTTTGTAGGGTCGGAAGGGACCTGAGCAGATCGAGTCCGACCCCCTGCCATGGCAGGAAAGAGTATTGGGATCAAATGACCCCAGCAAGGTGTTCATCTAACCTCCTCTTAAAAACCCCCAGGGTAGGAGCCTGCACCACCTCTCTTGGAATTTGGTTCCTGATCCTAGCCGCCCTGACCGTGAAATAGCGCCTCCTGATATCCAGCCTAAATCTACCCTCTGCCAGCTTGTGACCGTTATTCCTGGTCACTCCTGGGAGTGCTTGGGTAGCTCTCTTATCCAACAAATAACCCCAGTAAAGTTGATGCGATGAAGGTACCAGTATGAGTGGGTGGATAAGGAGCACCATAATGGAGTTACTTTTACAAGACAACTATCTGTACGCATGGCAATATGTAAGGGGTGAAGTATTGCTGCGTCCCTCTCAGAGTGGTCTAAGGAAGGGGAAATCACTTATTGCGCCCCTTGAAAGAATTAGCTTACTTACCTGCTTGACTGTGTGTGAGGAGGAGTCGCAGCGCAGGCCCTGCTAACTCCCCCTGCCCTCCTTACATGTGGGGAGGGGGATTTAGAAAGCAGGGCAGAGCTCTCTACCCTTGGGTCCCAAGCCTGCGTGTACCCATTCAGTGGGGAGGGCAGTCTAGCTGGTATTATCCTTATCCTTTGTGTTTGCTCATTTTAATAAATAGACTTTTTTATTTGGAGACCAGTTAATGAAAAAAAAAAGTACCATTAACGCCAAACTTTCCTGAATTGCAATTTTTGTACAACTGCTGCAGATTCATGAATTGCAATTATTCACAGGCAACAGTAATGAACTCGAATGTTTTCTTCAAAGATCCACAATTCTGTTTTACTCAGAAGGCAAGCACACTTCATTTAGATTAATCCAGGATTATTGTCTTATTATTACATTTGTTCCATAAGTCATTTATAGTGTGTGTCAAAACTACAGCAGCAGTTACCCTGGGCTATATTTGAAAAACACCTGCACGCAGTTTGCATGATTAAATACCATAATTTTGAGTTTCGAGTACGTGCATTGATCTAGGCAGGCAGCAAGCACTTTGCATGCTCAACACATTTGCTCAGCAAGACATTTATATCGTCTATATTGTTTGGTCTTTCCTCTCAGTGAAATCAGTTGCCTGCTTCCTGATGGAAACAAGATCAGGTTTTATGGTATTTGCACAAGCTGCGTTTTGTAAGAGCAAGCAGGCAGGTGAGAAAATAGCGACGACTGAAATATGCTACGTTTCAACGGAGATCTCGCAGGTCTTGGTGGACACCGTCGTAATCTCACGTGTCAACAGGATGCTGTGACAGGTCAAGGTGAAGGGAAACTGCACGTGAAAAACATCTACTAGCCAAGCAAATTCAGGGGTTGCGAGAAGCTATATAAGAACAAAGAATCAGAGTAAAGTAGGGCAGGAAGGGGCCTGTATAGGTCATCAAGCCCAACCCCTACCTGAGGCAGGATCATTTCTATTCAACCATCCCATACAAATCCTTTGTCCAATTTATTAGTAGAGCTACACAGTCCAGCCTTATATAACCACAAGACTCAACACCCTAACCTGCCACAGGTAAAAGGTATACTATGGCTGCCAGTGTCTTGTTGCTACAAGGGTTGTTAAAATACACTTGAGAGATCCAAGGAAGGGTGGCATGTCCTCTACTACCAACGAAGCATCCCCCCACAGGTACCCATATCACCATGGGGTAAAATTCCTTCTTGACCACATATATGGCAATTGGTCTGACCCAGAGTGAAGGGGCAATACTTGCAGGTCTGTGGCTAGAAGGTAAGTTGGAAGCACCCCAGTTGAAACCCCCAGCCTTAGCTGCAAGAAATGTCTAATGCTTTTGAGGGAGGCGACCCTTCCTAGCTGACATGCACAGTATCAGGAGGGAAAAAAAGGTTCCTTCTTGGCTCTACATGGCAACCAGCAAAGTCTGAAAGCATGGGAAATACCCAAGAATCGGGGGAAATGTGCATCATTATTACAGCTGCTTGCGGATGTTAAAAAACCTCCCAAAAATGTTGCTTTATTTTAAGCTCAGCACGCTCCCTCGCAGAGCCCAATGTGTGTCCAAAAGAGGCAGCGTGCTAATTGGACCTGACTAGCCCAATGTCTGTATAGATCAGGTGCTTTAGCGGAGCTTTTTTGGTGCTTTTATCTAATAGTCGATTGACTCAGTTTTAGATAAAAGCGCCAAAAAGCCCCACTGAAGCACCTGATCTATACGCATGCTGCAGAGCTAAGTCAAAGTAACACGCTGGTGCTTCCTGTAAACCACGGGTGTTTTTTTTTTTTTTTTAATGTCTGCAAACAACCCATGTTCCAGAATAGGTTTTACCGCAGATTAAGCACAAAATACTTGCAGTTTTAAAGAGAATGCATAACAGAGCTAGCAAGTGCAAACTGATTTACTTCTGAATGTTTGGTCTTGGGGGATTCTCTAAATATTTTGAGAGGCACACTGGTTTCTTGAAGAAAATACATGAATCATCAGCCTTTCACTGGTGAAGTGTCAAAACTATATTTTTCCCCTTTTAGCTATTTACATTGTACTGCCTGGTTATTATTAGTCTTTTGCATCTCGTACGAGTAGCATCTCATACGGTTGGGTGGCAGTGGGTAACTCACTCTTTCGGGCTATTTGCTGAGCTACCCCACCTCACCCCAGTAAAGCAGACTAGGTGTCACATGTTTATAAAAGTGTCTGTTGCTTTCAGACAGCGTTCTTGATAAGTCTGCATGCAGTGAGCACAGCCCATTGTGAAACAGGGAAAATACTGCCTCTTAAGTAACTCATTCAGCAGATGCAGTTTTGAAGTGAGAAGAGGCCTTGATGACTTAAAATCCCACAAATCCATTTCAACCTTCTGGATGCTCACCAAATAATTCCAGGTGAAAACACAGCTGGAAAGCCTATCTCCCCAACACTGAAACAAACCCACCTAAGGCCACAGAGGTCCATCTGGAACAATATCTATCAGACAACTGTAACTTCTCATTAGTGTCAAATTTATTATCTGGGAAATGGGGAATTTAACACAAAAGTTGCCGTTCTAGAGCAGAGCACTGCTGTATCTATCCCAGTATGCAATCTTCACTCATGACCAGTAGCAGGTGCTTCTGAGAAAGAGACAACTAGAGAATAACTTTCATTAACTAACTGGTTGGCATCTAGAAGCATGAGTGTTTTTATCCCTTACACATTTTTCAGTTGTATCTAATGTACTGGACATGCTCTCATTATAAATTTGTATGGATGTAAATGGATATTTTAGCAGTTGATAGTGATGGCTTAACTCCATATCAACTACTGCTGACTTTCAGAAGACAAAACCTGGCTCAAAATTGAATGTTTCTATACATCCCAACTGCTAGTCTTTACTTAACGCTTATTAAAGTCCTTCCTTTAAGGCCTACTTGTAGCAATGAGTTCCACAGACAAATCAGACATATATATATATATTACTTGCATCAGTTTTTACTGGGCACATCTGCACGAGATGCTGTAATGCACAGTAGCCTATTCTACTGCACATTAGCGCATCATGGCAAAAGTGTGCTAATATGCTAATGCATAGCAGACTTAGGCTCATTAATGCATGTCTAGACACACCCACTATTGCTTATCATTGTGGTTTGACAAAAGATAAATACAAGGGCTGGATAATCCTTTGTCCATAATTCATTATTTCATGTCATTCTATTGTTGCATCTTATTTAGTTCTTCTCTAAACCATGCGGGACTAATCTTTTCAGTCTCTGTTAATATTGAAGCCTCCTCATGCTTCTAATCATTGTAATCGGTCATTTCTCATCCACTGCTATTTCAGCTATGCATCTGAGAAAAGGTGACCAGCACTGATCATGGCATTCACAGTAAGGCCACTGCATCAGTTTTGATTTTCTATTCCATTCTGTACATGCCATAACAGTTATTTGGACTGACTGCACACTGAGCAGACGTTTTCATTCACCTGTCCACAGTGATACCAAAGTCTTTCCCCTAAATGATTGGAGGTAGTTTTCAACAACACATTGTGTATGTGTAGTTCAGTTTTTTTTCCTCTTTCAATGGACAATTACCTTGGCATTTGTCAATATTCATTTTCATCTGTGGCTGTTCAAGCCTGATCTGCCTGGCTTTATTAGGTGCAACCTGACGTTACCTGAATAATTTTGTGTCATCTGAAAATGTGAACTATACCAGTTATATATTTTTCCAGATCATCAATACATACATTAAAGCAACCACAGAGCTTGGGTTGCCACCCTACTCTGAACCTTTAGCCACAGTGAGAGTCAATCATGTACTCACTCCTCCCCCCTATTCTTTTTCCTGTTTCCTAGACAGATTCTCATCATGGCACAGCATTACTTGAGAGAGGTAGTTAGCCATGTTAGTCTGGTGTCAGGCAGAAGGCAGGGTAGATTTGTATCTTTACTTCCCACATCACAAGTCCAGATTTGTTTCCTTCACAGATTCCCCAAATTTTTTTTTAAGCCCAAGTATTTCATGCTACATTTTGTAGTTGCATTGCATGTCCATGCTGCACTTCACTGCCTGCTTGCCTCTGACTTGGGCCAAATTCTGCTCCTTTTTTTTTTTTTTATTTCTGTGAAACTGGAAGCCAAAGCTGGCCCACTGACTTCAATGGACACTATATGCGGGTTTTTCAGGGGAAGGCTCGTATCTTAGGGAAGAATTTTCTGCACAACTATTTAGATTTGAAAAGCCATCATTGCATAGATTTCCTGGCAAAGGAGTTTGCAGGTTATAAACAAGCTTTTAATAAGATCAAAACAAAACCATTATAATACCTTTCATTTTCGTGTAGCAGCTCACCTCCCTTCTTCCAGGAGCATTTTGCCTTCGGGGAAGCTTTTGGCTTGCATTCAAAATTAACTGTGCTGCCTATTTGAACCTGAATCAATTTCTTCATTGGGTTCTTGGAGAAATCTGGAGCAGAAGCTAAAAGAGTGGGAATATCAATAGTGAAATACAACTGGTTTAACTTTTACCAGGCATTTTAAGATGTAGCACTTCCATGGCATTTCTCAGCCTCCAAAGTGTTATTAGAAAGCACAAGTTTATTAGCTCATTCAAACCCCATTCACGAGGACCTGATATGCCAAAATTTAAACTGCAAGAGGGAAGAACTTTTGTGGGTGATATCTTTTATTACACCCAGTGCATGGTTGGGACAAACTCAGATAAGCTTTCAAATGCAGCACATTCTGCAAAGCCTGTTAGGCCACGCTTAACTTGAAGCATGTGCTAACAAGTCCCAGTGACTTCCTCTAGACTGAAACATGTAATTAAGTCCTGCTGATGTCAGTGGGATTTAGACACAGGCATCATTTGAAGGACATGCTCAAGTGCCTTTAAAAAAAAAAGAGTTCAGGTTTAAATAATTTGCCGAGCAGGACTAAGGGAATCAATGCTAGAGCCTGGATAAGAACCCAAGGGATTTTTGAAAACTAAACTGGAGTCAGATCACCGTGTGGACGGCAGAGTTACTTCTGTATTTGTTAACAGTTAAATAAATGTGCATGACATCTAACCGTGTTAATCATGGAACCTTAAATGGAAATCCATATTTTTTAGGGGACCTAGGATGGACAAATCGTCTAGTGATCGACTCATAACCTTCTCAGCAGAAGGGAACTAGTTTGTGTTCTGAAAGCACACCACTCTTTCTACAGACCCAGTTCCAATTACATTTCCCAAAGACTCTTTCCTGCATCATAAGGAAAATGAGTGAAAACATTTGAATTCACAGGCCACTTTGCAAATTCAGTGTTTCGCTCTAATAAGTGGTTGTCATTTGTTTTAAAAACAAGCACGCATTACCTGGATGACTAAATGGCAGACCCTTGTCCCCTCGATCAAGGAAGGTTGCACGTAAAATCAGCTTACTGCTTTTAAATGACATTGCTCTCCGGGGGATGCTGGAGTCATGATGCAGAAGGTCAGTGCTACTAAGTAATGTGCTGAGCCAATGTTGCTTCTAGATGGTGTGATTAGTTTTAATCTTTGGGCCTGCATCCAAGCCATTGTTTCTGCTCTTCCCCTAATTAATAATTTATCTCTGTGTCCATTTTTAAAGCAATGAGTGATTGTACTGAAAGCGCAGTGGCTTTTATTCCAACACATCCTCTTAAAGCAGGTGCATTAACTCTTCAGCATTGAAGCTAAGAACAAACATTGTGATAAAACATTTCTTTTGCTGCGCGCATCTGGACAGGTTAAACATTTGAGATCATTAACAAATTACTAGTAGCAATAGTAGAGGCACTGTTCTGTCCTTAGTAGAAAGGAAAAATAATCTTACCTACAACCTGGAGCTCGGCACTGGAAGAGATCACTCCATGTTTGTTTTCAGCTATGCATTGGTACGTGCCAGAATCTGTCAGATTTAGATTTGATATTATAAGTGCACCATTTTCAATTTGGATCCTTCCCTGGGTATTAAGAAAAATACCTTCAGTGACAGTGTACATTAAGTCTGACAGGAAATAAGAGGTTGAATTCATCTCTGTATAGCGGTCCCAATAGGGTTCTACATGAGACTTACGTAGAGCATGTGCTGTCAGCACAGGGGTGAAAATCTGTTGTAGATCTGAACCAGACACCAGATTTAAATCCTCTCCTACATGCTCCAGTTTGTCACTTGTGCTCTAACCAGCAAAGCACGTCACTGCTCATCCCAGACATTCAAAAATCATGACTCGGGCTCATGCAGACCTTAAGCAGATCTTTGAAAAGGCGGAGAACAATAACTCTGAGTCTTAAGGGGAAAGTTGCTTTATATCTTCAAGATTACCCTCTAATGCCTACGAGAAATGACTGCCTTAAAAATGCAACAGCTGAGGTTTTTAATAATCATTATTCTCCAAGAGCTGGGTTTTTTCACACCAAATATGGGACTTGTGATAAAATCATGAGAGTTAGAGGCACAGAAATTATGGAATCAACCTGCTCTAAATTTGCAATTTGCATTGGTTTCCAGTCTAAAAAGGACTTTCGTACAGAAAACTGGACACAGTGTCCCAGGTGAGCCCTACCAATGCTGAGCAGAGTAGGTGAATCACTTCCTGTGACTGGCCCACTTCGTGCCTTTTAAAGCATCCCAGCATGCTACTAGCTTCTTCTGCAACAGTATCATATTGGTGACTCATCTTAATCTTGCAATCTGCTTTAACCACCAGATCCTTTCCTAGAGTACTTCAGCCTAGCCAACCATTCCCCATGTTGTATTTGTGCGTGATTGTTCCTTATAGTACTTTGTAGGTGTCCTGATTAAAATTCATCCTATTGATTTCAAACCATTTTTTCCAATTTATCAAGGTAATTTTGAATCCTAATGTGGTCCTTTGAAGTGTCAGCTACACACTCGACTTGATGTCAATAACTTCTCTACTTCTACTTGATATTCCCTTTCAAGGATCACACTGACCTTTTGGTCACAGCACTACAGTGATAGCTCATGGTAAGACAGTTATCTATGATGATGCCAAGTCCTTCACTGCTTTCCAAGATGTAGTTTCTCACCCTGTAAGTATGGCCTACATTCTTTGTTCCCAAGTGTGTTATCTTGCACTTAAGTGCATCAAAACACTTCCTTGTTGGAATGTGACTATTAGGTAATTCATATCATTCTGTAAAGGTAACCTGCCATCCTATTTATGTCCCCACAAACTTGTCACTTCCGTAAATTTAGGCAGCAAGTCTTTTATATCATCATCTAACTTGCTGATAAAAATGCTGAATAGTGTTGGACTAAGAACCAATTCTTGGGGGATCTCTTTATGGATCACTCACTAATGTCTTCCCATTAAAACTGCATTTTGCAATCTGTCAGTGAGTCAGTTTCTAATCTATACAGTGCGTGCCCTGTTAATTATACATAGTCAAATGTCTGGCCTGCAAGTTGTTCAATCAAGATGCCGTACGGTACCAAGTAAAATGCTCTAGGGAATGTATGAGAGCAGTAATCTTTTCAAAAAAGATAACAGTTTGCTTGACAAGATTTACTTTCCATGAAATCAGGTTGACTCGTGTTAATTATATGTTTAACCTCTTATTCTTTCTTAATAGAGTCCTGAATAGGTTGCTCCATGATTTTGCCCGAGATGGATTTCAATCCAATTTGTCTATTGTTCCCAAGGTCATCCCTATTAAATGTCAGGGTTATATTGTCAGTCCTCCCAACCTTTGGAATTTTCCTGGTTTTCCAAGATTTCTTCCTAAGAGTTTCTTGGCTAGGTCCTTTATAAATCCTGGGATTATTGATTTGAGAAAAATGTATGTACTCTTTAATTTAAATAAGCCGCCTCAAATCCTCTTTTGTCACAGATGGCAAATTTTCAGTGTACATCATCTGGGATAGCTACAGCATCCTATTTTGATCCCAATACAAAAACATAAATGTCTACTCAAGATTTCTGACTTGCTCTTCACGACATGTATAAAAATGCTTTCTTTCTGTATTTAACTATTGGACATTAATAGATCAAGTGTATTAAGTTACATGCTACTTTTTATTCTTGCTATATTGATTTTTTTCATGTCATTAGCAATGCTTTCATATCTCCTTTTAACTATCTCTCTCCTTTGCTGGTAGAACAGCATTTTTTTGTGAATTGTGGGTCTTTGAGCATCCAGAATGATGTTATTGCACGTCCATAAGACATCTCATAGGCTCTTCTTGATAACCTCACTTAACTCATAATTAACAGGTAGCAATCATTATTGCATACGACTTCACTTTTAAAAAAATGGACATTACCTCTAGTGCTAGAGGTTCTCCATTCTTCATCCACCTGTACGACGGTTTGGGTTTCCCACTCGCCTTACAATCCCAGTATAAGGTATCCTCCACTGCAGTTTCAACATCTTTTATAATCTGGACCCAGTGAGGTTTTGCTGCATGTAAAAATACAAAAAAAAAATCCCAAAAAACAGAACAAAACCCTGGAAGTTACTGGACACTTTAAGAACTACAGGGGTGACTGATTACACTTCTCCATAGGCTTTCTTGTAATAGCAAATATGCTGTTCAAATTGTTTACTGAAACTAATATAATTTAACATCCTTTTTAGAAAAATGATGTTAAAGACAAGAACAGAGAAAATAAACCCATTGCTAAGGGTACGCTACTAAAAGAATACAAGTTAAGTAAGGGTTAAACAATGCCACTTTCAAACTGATGTCAGAATAAGATCAAATACACAAATAAGGCACAGTAGTGGAATTACGTGACCAGTTTAGTCACCACATTATGGAATGTAATCAATGCTTCCAAGGTGTACAGCAAGAAATTTAAAGAGGTGATGGTCCACTTAGTTCCAGTCTCCAACGAAAGGGTTCTCCCCACAGCAGTCCAAATTAACGCTCAGCAGTGTATTTCAATGAAGAATACAAACGATCATTACATTTTGTAACTTCATTGTAACTTGCCACAACCCCAAAAGCCAATTTTATGTTTAGATTTAGTTATTACATGTGTTGACAACCCTATTGCTATTTTCCTCAAACACAAACGCATGCATTAAGCCAATTCTCTGAACAGCCAGTTTCACATCTGTCATCTCTTATCATGTAGCTGACATTTTGGCTTCTCCACACATTGTTTCAAGACGAGGAACACACTTTTTCAAAGATTTCAAGGTAGACTTTGGGGGGCTGTGAAAATTGAGGAGCTTACGGTGTGGTACCTCACCACACGGTATTTACAGGTACTTATACACACAGGTGCTTATGCACACTCAATTATACATTCACACCTAAAATAATAAAAAGCTCCCAGTCAGTAAAAACAAGTGACAAATAGAAAAGGAAAAATATGAGATACAAGACGTGCAAAGATTGCAATTCACCAGAGCCTGAATTTCCAAGGCTTAGAAACCCTTAACTGCAATTAGTAAGCAGTAGGGGTGTGCAAACCAGGCCCTATTTGATTTGGATTTGGCCCAAATTAGGGATAGCGATTCCATTAGTTGAGTCAGATCACTGTCCCTGATTCAATTTGGCCAAATCCAAATCTAAAGATTTGATGCTGATTCAGAGAGTCAGCGATTCAGACATAGACACATCTTTAAAAGTTTTTTCTACATACCTCGAGGTACCAGGCATGGCTCGTGAATGGTGCGATGCTGGGGCACAAGGAGTGTCCCACAGGAGCATGGGGAGGGGGTCCTCCACGTGCTCAGTGGTGAACCCAATAGTGGACCACAAGTACTTCTGGTCCACTTCAGGGTCCACTGGGGGAGCACAATGGAGCTCAGCAATCAGCTGCAGGGGGACCCTGGGTGCCCCTCCCCTCCCCCCAGCCAGACCCAGAAGGCACCAGACACTGAGCCAGGGGGATGCAGGCTCCTGCCCCCCCACCCCCGGTGTGCTCCCTGGCAGACCCAGAAGTGGACTGGAAGTGTTTCTATGGGACACTCCATGCACCCCAGCATGGCAGCATTCATGAGACACCTGCTACCTAGAGCTATATAGAAAAAATATTTAAACTGTGTCTGTGTATGAATCACCGAATCTTTCTGAATCTCTCCAAATCAGGCAGAATCGAACCAGGGACCGAAGCTTTGTACAACCCTAATAAGCAGATGGTAATGTGGTTAACCCAATACCATGTGCTTCTTAGGGTGTTGAGATACTGGTCATGGCTATTGTGCTAATGTGACTTTCTTTTTAGAGCTTATCAAGCTCATGGTAGCAGACTGTCAACATTCCTGAGTTGCTTTATTGACCAGGAAGATGAAACTTTCCCTCTTTACTTTCATCTTTATCTAATAATTCCATCTTGATCCTCTACATCTCTTTTCCGGTATTTGGAAACACAATGTAGTTCAGCGATTCTCAGACCAAGAAGCTTTGGACTAAACATCGATTTGCAAAGTTCTGCTGAGAGCAGCGGTTTTCCTGAAATGTCTTAACCACATCCTGTGAGAACCCCCAAGATGTTGAGAACAGGAAAAATTTGGGGAAAGTTTGAAGAAAACTATTTTCAACTCCCCCTCTGACGTAAACAGCTGGGGGGAGCCATATGCTGCCATGTCCAGAAGGCAGCCTCATAAAGGTCTAAAACATGAGTAATCACTTAAGAAAAGACAGGAATTCATACTGAATCACACATCCTTCAGCATTTCTTGAAATAAATGTATGTAATTCATGATGGCTGTCATTTTTTTCCTTTGCAAACAAGAGAAATGGGGAACCAGCAATTACAGGCCAGTTGAGTGAAAACTTGTAACAACTTATCTCTTCAGTAGCTTTCCCTGTAAGAATCAGAAGGCTACTTTACCACTAATAATATTAATTCTATTTTAAACAAATAGTTTAATTTTCTACTACACTTGTATTCATATATGCTTTTTCTCTCTCAGCAGAGAAGCCCGGGACTTTGTGAACAGAGATGAAAAGATGAATTTTAAGATGTTCTGCAATTACTATTTCTTTCTGAAGAAAAAAAAAAAAAAAGAGAAGGCCTTCTGGAATCCAGCTCTCTTGCTCTTAAATTTCTGCTAGAACCCAAGTTTACAACATTAGTGCGTAACACACTTGTCCACTCTAGCTTTGATTGACTGCTAAAGGGAAAAGGATGAATAATTTACCATTGGAAGGTGGGTCTCAGTGATAAATCAGGAGCACTTCTGCTTTTAACATCTGAATGTATTCCCTTTTCCTGGATGACAGCTGCATTTTAAAAAGCAAAGTACCTCACTCTTTCCTCTGAGCCTCGAACACAGAAATGAATCACTTTCACCTTGTTAACCCAGCCTTGTAGAAAACCCATCATTACTGCATTCTTCAGCATAAAATAATGATGGACGAATCTCAAAAACATTCTAGCAATGCCAAGAAAGCAGCGTCTCTCAAAGTAGTCACATATTTTCATATTTCCATGTTCAGGCATTTCCAGGTTGTTGGGAAAGAATGGAAAAGAATTGCCACCAGCTTTCTGAATGCTTACCAGAAAGTCAGAGTATAATGATGTTTAAAGCACCTGAATGAGCTCACTTGTGTAAAACCCACTTTCAAAAGTGACTAGCTGCATGTCTGCATTGCAGTCAAAGGTGTGACTGGACCTCACTCAGGCACACCCAAACTATGCCACTGTCTGGTAGTCAGTGAAACTTTCTGGGGCTGTCTTGCAGATCAGCTCTGCAAAACAAGGGTTAGTGGCCAGACAGCCCTTCAAGATAAGATTCTTACAGGAACAACCTTGAAAGAAGGGGTTTACCAGATAAACAAGCCAACGGCTGGGGATAGGAGCAAGGAATAATGAGTAGTGTGTCTACGATGACAACCATACTCTCTACTCACTGGGAGTTGGCTTAAACCAACCTGATCCAAATGAGTCACCCCCTCCTTGCCTATCACTCACAACATGAGTTCTCCTAGGATCCGCTCTGTAGTGTACCCGTCACTCCTGTGCTTGGCTCTGGTTACGGTTAAAAGAGACAGGAAGTGTGTGGCGGGGGGGTGCAGTCCTAGAAACAAGGAACAGGAAGCCGAGAGATTTGTGACGGCGGATTTCCTGTTTGGGGTTGCAATGCTCAGGTCAGTTTCAAACACACATGGACAGGAGCACTACCGGAGACAAGCCTGACTTTGGACCCCGACGATCAGCAGAGCCTGATACCAGAGATCAATCAGAAAGGTTTTCAAGGTAGGTTGTCAGCTGGAATGGCTTTGAGAATGGCCCCGAACTTGACCCTTTGTAGCAGCATAGACATGCCCTGTGCATTTAAGCTGTGAAATTATAGCAGAGTCCAAGCAAGTGAGAGATCTGAGAAAAATGCTTAAAAGGAACAGAAGCAAGATCCACATTTAGCTCTGCTATCTCATCAGAAATCCTTTCATTGACCAGCCCCTTCAACACACTTTTCTTGTCCCTTTCTATCTGGGGCATCCCACAAAACACAAGAGCTCACCTCTTCCTCAGAAAAAATTAAATATCTTGCTACTTCCAATCTAATTTATTCACATCACGAAAGCTAAATTATTAAATTGAAGTTGCACAAAGAGCCACTTATGCCAAAGCTTCTGCATTATTTTTATGGAGTGTTTGTCCCACACATGTCAAGGGGGATGAAAGCTCATGCCTAGATGTCAGCATGGTTCCTGCACTTTGCATACCTAAATATTTATGCAACAACAGGCAACAGTACTTGCATTATTGATAGATCCATAGATGTGCGATATTTCACATCTGTCGTATAACCTCATTTGAACACATGCTTGTGAAGTAGGTTAATGCTTCAGTGGTTGAGGATAAAGAGTTTGTGACCTATTCAGTTCCACCAAAAGGGGAAAATGCATCTGACCTATGAACTTGCACCCTCTGAGTTGGTCAGTCCTCACTGTGGGGCTTTCCCCATGGCAAACAGGGGAAACCAGATCTTAGCTCAGCATCCAGTCCCAGCTTGGTACCACCCCTCAAGAGAAACTGCCAAGAAATGCAACTTCCAAAGCTGAAAGTTACAAGTTACAGCAAAACTTAAAAGTGCTATTCAACTCCAGCCGTTTGCAGAAGAGCCCTGACATGATTTCCTGGAGGAAATCTTCCTTTTCAAAGTACTTAGCAAGCAAGCAGGAGAAGGGAAGATCCCTCGACACAACAAAATCCTCTGAGGAAGGGTAAGGCTGACTGATGTGGAGGGTCCTGGAATGAAAACTCACAGGTAAGGTAGAATTTCCTTTTTTCAGTCTCCTCCATGTCAGGAAGCCGTAACAGCAGAAAGCAGTAAGTGATCCCTAGGGAAGGAGAGACCATTTGATTTACCCACGCATGACTGAAAAAAGAATGTAAGGCTTTCCTAGGCACCCTTGTTGACATCCTCATCCTTAGCGAACCGGGGGAAGGGTGTCATGCAATTATGCAGCGGTTGTGAAACTGTGGATGGAAGGCCAC